TGTACGGGGGTTTTTGTAATATTGGATATAACCATACATCGTTTATGTGGATCAAAATAATAGTATAACAAGAGCAAGTTTTTTTTATGATACCAAATGACGGGACAAACAATTCGCCCACCTGGTTGTAAGTGACACGCATGTCCATAACAGTGGCAGTACCACACAGTGCTTTAATTTACAAAGATCTGAGGGGCACTGCCACTGCGCATAGGTACCTAAGGTGGCAAGTACTTCCGTGGATGAAGTTTTTTAGAAGGACCTCTACTACTACTATAAAAGTGCAACTTAAGTTTTGATATCGCGTAATAAGACAAGTATGGTAACTCTATACAAGCGTAGCAGAGCGGCTTATATGTGTGCACGCCCGTCACGCGCCGTGTACAGACGCACACATCCGCATAATCTTGCGGAGCACTCGCGTTGCAGAGCGCGGATCGTCGTACACGCCAATAATTATAGAATAATTACATCAAATATAGACTTGTTTATTGATGTGTTTGAGGTAGTTTGAGCAAGAGTGACTGGAATTCAACGTTGTTCAGCATTTAATTTTAATTTCACTTCTCATGCCCTAAAGGTACCTACGTCAATATAGCTTTACGTAGCCTATTATTTATATAGCCTTTAATCCCGGTACCACTCCCACTGCGGCCGTCACCTTGAGATATAAGTTGATATGTCCCATGCACCTGTAATTTCGCCAGCACCTTTAGTATTCAAACCAAACTTTCTGGTCCAGGTTTTGCCAGCGACTTTTATTATGCCATTGACCCAGCTTGCCATTACACGACCCGGATTCCTTCCGCCTATTTTTGGCCACCACACTTATACCAGCAGCCATCATCTCGCTTAACCTTTGGGGAAAATTAAAATGTATGCACAGTACAATAATTGACACCCAATGTTGGAGGAATAACTTCTGGCTATCCTAGTTTAGGAGTTAGAGGATCACTCTTTAATAACATTTCTTCTCTTCTTGTACAACCAATGTTTTTGTTTTCATGCACCTTGTAATGTCATTGTTTTCCTTTATTAAATAGTTATTATTGTTATTAATTTAGTTGAATTCTACTTATTTGACATGTTTGACAGTAATTGTTTCGGAGGGATGAAGAACAAGAGTACAAGGCCAGATGTTCTGCTCAACTCCAATTAAGGTCTATAACAAAGACCCCAATGTCTTAAAGTTTCGTCCGACAACTGATTTCCGTGTTCCGAATTTTATGGAGGAGTGTGTTACCGAGAATGGCTTGCTCTATTGCCCTGTGTGCATCACGTGTTCAGTGTACAATTTTCTTGGTAAACGTTGTTTTTAAGGCACCCTTGTCGGTAGTACACACTGGTTGAAGAGACGTGTCCTCATCACTGTTTGTTTTAAAAAAAATGCCTTAATGCTGTCTTCAAAAATATCCATCGTAGCTGTTGATGTCCCGGGGACATAAATATGCAATTCTACAGGTCAGCAATTGTTAGTCTTTGTAACACAATGACTTTACCAACATTAATAAGAATAGTTTCCATGTTTACCACTAGATGGCATTGGCATTGAAAACGCAACTTCTGAATCGCGATGTTAAGATTTTCCATGTTGTAATGATGACCTACTGTCACTAGTATTTTGTATGAAATTGATGTGATCTATTCTTCTATTTGTCTATAGTTATTATTGATCGATTCAACGATTGCATTTCTACGGGTATCCTCATTACAAAGGAAGCGTTTCGTACTCGTGCCTATCTTTCGGGACAGGTTACGAGAGCACCTCAGAGTGAGTATCAACGAGACGAATCCCTTTTATTGGACACACTTGTATTGAAAGCCTATTGTAAGCTTCTGTACAATAAATCAAGTTATCTTCACCGAAGTACGCCGTTTGATTCCTGGACGTAGTAAGGGGGCATCAGCTAGCCGAGCAAACCTCTACCACCCTCTACACCCCCTCCCACTACATATTTAATTTAATTTAATATTTAAACCTAATTATTAATTAATATTCAATCTTATATTTATAATTTTATTCAAGTGAAATATTTACAATTTCCTAGAATAGAATACGTTTATTTGCCAGAATATAGTAATTACATAAGTTAAATTAGTTATTATAATAATTTATATTACATAAGTTATATTACATCTTAGAATAATAACGCATAGAAACCTAGTTCGCACACGCTAAGTGAGGTAAATTGAAGCGCTCCCAAAGGGCCTACACGAGCGGGCGGGCCTTCAGTGCTCAAAGTCAACTTGCACCGCGAACAGATCAAGAATTTTAGCTAAAAGTGACGAAACGTGCGGTAAATGGGTGTAAAAATAAGTCTGACAAACATAAAATAGATACTAACATCACATTCCACAAGGAAGTAACGAGTTTCAACTTGTATTTTTATATAAATATTCACTAAAACCGAAAATTAACCTACTACTAAAACTAGCCTACATGAATTTGATTTTTGCCTCACTTGTGACAGTTCGTTTGATATGAAACTATCATTCTATGCGTTATTATTCTAAGTATTACATTGTATTCAACCTGCAAGCAGATGTGAAAATATTAATAGGATTTAATGTTTAGTCTATAGTTTCAAATTAATGTAATGAATTTGTAAATTCTGGGTATTAGTTTTTAATATAGAAGCAATGTGTCGAAAGCCATATTGTCAATTTTAATTTAAAAGTATGTCCTTGTAACAATTTAATTTCGTTTAGTAATTTATTGTAAATAATTATACACGTGTTGAAGAGCTTTATTCTTATAAATTACTTTATGGCAACGAGGTTGGTATAATAGATTCATAATTTTTGCTCTAGTTTAGAATGACTTCACCGCGTGTTTTAAAATATTGAGGATGAGAGTTGACAAATACGCAGATATCCCTAACGTACATGTTTAGCCTTTAAAACAGCGGTTTGCAACAGTCATAGAACCACACACCGCAAATTGGTAGGATACACTTCTTCTGGACTTGAAACGGTCTTTCTAAGACTACTGAGTTGCCCCTTAGTACAAGACCGTAGCTGAGCACGGACGTAATGTAGCCGTGATGCCGGCCGTCAACGCAGCTTCTCGCGAAACAGTTTGCCTTAGACCTCGTAGCTTCATGCAAATCTGCTAGATGTGTTCCTTCCAGTTAAGGTTCTTGTCGATTGTTAGCCCAAGAAAGTTAAATGTGTCAACTTCATCTACAGTATCAGCGTTGTAATTAATTATAACCGGTATAGGATTTCAGTTATAAGATCTAAACGTCATAAGTTTGGTTTTGCCTATATAGGCAGACGTAATAAGTTGGATGGACATCAATTACTTGAATATTAATATTAATATTCAAGTAATTGATGTCCATCCAACTTATTACGTCTGCCAGTGCTTTATTTATGTCAGTCATTGACTTACTAATAAATGGACGACGGGTCTAATACACAAACCACGAAAAAAATGTCCCAAGTCAACCTACTCGTATTTAAACGTAGTGTAAAGGAATATGAAAAAGCTAAAACGTTGAATTTAAATTGTAATGTCATCGCAGTACTGTCTAATTTTGCTTGCTTCGCTGTCAGTCGAGCAAACGAAGACTAAAGCGTGAATGACGCTCTGTATACGATTTTAACGCCCTATAAGTTCGGACACTTTTTAGCGTGGACCCGACGTCCATATAATTGTAAGTCAATGATGTCAGTGTTAAAAGTCGCTTTCTTTTGGCATTTTATTATAGGTGTTGTATAGTCACCAAATTGTATACAATTATGATCATAGCACGTGGGAGATTTTATTAAACTAATTTCAGTTCATCATATTTTAATTAATTGCGCATGACATTGTACCTATTTTTATAAAGTACGCAAGGTGGGTCGTAATGGTCTTTGACACATTGGTGCCGCATGTATGCTGTTTACGGATCCACTAAAAATCAATGTCGCAGCACTTTCAGTGGGACGACATTAAGCTGAGTGGATGACGGATTCCGTAATAATAATAACGCAATACACTCATAGCCCCGCGCTAGGGAAACCCTGTATCGCGGGTGCCATGGACACACACATAGACAACCACAAAGTACACCCAAACTCATGAGAGACATAAATGTAGGCCATACACATATTTCTCCCAGCCTGAGAATCGAATCCAGGACTTCAGCATGGTAGCTGTTCGGCCGTTATATAGTAATAGCACAGCGTACACTCTATTATTCCAATTTTAGAACTTAATTTATTTAGTCAATATTATTTAGTAATAAGTCTTGTATAATTATATTGTATTATTGTATTGTAATGTGTGTGTTGTAGTTAGTACTGTGCTGTAAATTATTTACGGCATAAATAATTTTCTTTTTTTCTTCAGACACTGTGGTCTTTTCTGACCGAAAAACACTTTCCAGCAATCCGAAAGCTATCTATTTTTCTCACAACATTATTTTGTGTTCGCTATTATTGTTTATTAGTGAAGATCATATTTTCTCTTCACATTGTAATATAATTGTAATATAGAAACCATTTATTTATTATTTTTTAATTTGGGACTTAATCATGTATTATTTGTATTATATATTATTTTGTATTATAACATTATTTTAATTACCACGACGTTTCGGACGTATTTCGTGACGTGAAAATCCAGTAAGGCCTTTTACATTGTGTTAAATCCATTACATTGCGTTAAAGGAGGATGTATGTTACAGCTGGAAGGCGTCAGCAGGATGCTGAGCCCTAAGATCCAGCGGTCGGTACGCGTCAATGATGGGCAGCTGTTGGCGCTATCCGACCGCGCGCAGTACGACCATTCGCAGGTAAATCTTAATTCAAAATATCTTAAAAGTTTCAGATCTCCTGAGAAAAACAAGCGGCAACTTTTTTCAAAGGAGTGTGCAAGTATGGATCCCCTTTTTCATCTTACCACACTTTTATTATGTATGTAGTAACATTATAGACAACCCTTTACCAAATACAATAAAGGCAAAGAGTAGGAAACTATTAAAAAGAACCATCCTTACCTCATGCGAAAGATGAGAGATGCGAGAGAAAATGCTTACAGAAACTTTTCCCATTTTGTTTTGTCCTGGGTTGATTCCAGACAGACTAAGGGACTACGCGCACAGTGTGTTTTTAACGCGTAGACGACACGCGTTTCACGAACGCGTGTTTAAGGCGTTTGTATCGATTCAAAGGCGCATGTACAAAGCTACACGAACGTGAGCGAAAAGCGCGTTCGAAGCCCGTTTGTATCGCGTTTTACGTGTCTGAGGAAAGAGTGGGGGAGCGGCGTATGCTCACGCTACTGCACCGCTCTACCACCCACAGTCGTCTATATCATCGTATAGTTCGTATGCACATGGCATATTTTAGTATGCCTTATTCCAGTGAGAAAATGGTCGAGTTTTGGAACTTTGATTAGCCAGAAAAAAAGCTGCTATTTAGTCGGTTATAGTCGTAAAAAACTGTATTTAGTCGGTCCGCCGTTCAAAAGTTATAAGGGTGTCTTACTGTCCACGCTGGAATAACCTTATTCCAGCGGCATCATTTCTCAATCTCAAGAGCCATAACACCTAGCTTAGATCTGATTACACTAAAAAAGTCGTGATTTAATCGGTTCTGATCGTAAAAATCTAGATTTAGTCGTTACGCCGTTTTGAAGTTATTAAGGTGTTTTACTGTCCACGTTGAAATAAACCTATTCCGGTGGCACCATTTTTGAATCTCGAGAACGACAGCTGCTAGCTTAGATCTGATTGCACCCAGAAAAAGTCGCGAATTATTCGGTTTTAATCGCAAAATTTTAGAATTAGTCGCTCTTATACTTTTCTAGGTTTTAATTAACCGATTTCAAAAAAGGAGGAGGTTCTCAATTCTACTGTACGTTTCTTTTTTTTGCATGTATGTTACGCGATAACTCCGGTATTTGTGAACCGATTTTCATGATTATTTTTTTGTTGGAAAGGGGATACTTCCATAGTAGTCCCATTTCATTTTGAAGGAAATCATCCACCTCGAAGGGTGGCTGTTCATGCATGAAGATTCATTTTTATAAATAGCGCCTACATTTTCATAAGGAGCAATTATTTTAATGGTTGATTTTGCTATTTCTCCAGTTCAAGGCGTTTTTCTCTCAATATTCTTTGAGTAGTGAGAACCGATTTTCATTATCTCCAGTATCAAGTCCTGTATAGTGGCGAATTTAAGGATATTTCAATAAAACTTAGCAAATAGACGTAATTCCACGTACTTTTGAGGTCGGTTTTTTTAGTACTCTGTACTGAGATTATTATAATATAAAATTTTAACGTTTTTGCTTGTTCAGGCTGGATACTTGCACAAAAGGAGCTCAGATAACACCAAGTGGCAATTGCGATGGTTCATCCTCTACCAGGTACGATATAACCACGTCATTCACTTGCATATGTACGGCAATCCGCCAACACTCAATTACTGTACTCAGAGTACAATTTGAGTTCAGTAGCAAAGGTATTGAATCTGATAAATTGCTGATACAGAACCTGCTCTTCTACTACGAGTCGGAAAACAACACGCGGCCGACGGGTGTGCTGTTGCTCGAAGGCTCTTACTGCGAACGGCTTAGCAAATCGCCTATGGAACGAAATGCCTCGGTACGTACCATTTTCGACCACTACAAGTTGAGCTCAAGCTTCCCATGATGATTGTAAACCTTGGAAGAGCCAAGGTGGTGGTAGTCAGAAAACAAAACAAATTGTGTACCTATAAACATAAGTAGATAAATTTTGAAGCTTTAGTATCCCTTCCATGAGGGTCGCAGTGATGAGGAGCAACACATACCCTAAATGAAGCGACCCTGAAATCCCTTCCTAAATAAAATAAAGACTCATTTACACGGAGAGTTTTCTTGTGTAAGATGCGATTGTCGACAAAATATTAACAAGTTTCTACGTGTAAGCTTGACATTATGTCATGTAAGCACGACATGACATAATCGCAGGCGAGATTTTAGTTCTTGCCTGTACCTAAATATTATTTTACGATAGTCTTACAGTGGCAAGGCGTGGAAATTGTCGTTAGTAAAGCAGGAGCAACGTTTTGCTCTGGTTAAAACACAGCTACCTTAACAAAAATGGCGCTTTGGGGACACTTAAACAAAACACTTATTAGCACACGAGATTACTGTTGGAAATTTGTCGAAAAATTTCAAATACTTAGTGGAAAGTTTTCCGGAAAAAATTCTGAAAAATGAAAAATATTGGAAAATACACACTTAACATTATTATGTTCTTCGCTTTAAAACATCTTTTGAAGTTTTATTTAGCGTGAATCATAAAATAAAACTGTGCAGCTGAAACCAAATTAGAAAAAAAAGAGATTTAAAATGGTTGGACAACAGCGAACAATATATATCATAGGCATTGACTTACAAATAAATGGACGACGGGTCTAATACAAAAACCACGAAAAAAATGTCCCAAGTCAACCTATTCGAAATTTAAATTGTAATGTCATCGCAGTATCGCGCTGTCAGTAGAACAAATGAAGACTGTCGCGCTCTGTATACGATTTTAGCGCCTTACAAGTGCGGACACTTTTTAGCGCGGACCCGACGTCCATATAATTGTAAGTCAATGATCATAGGTAAAAAAAAAACTTTATAATCGCTCCATCAGTATTTCAGTATTTTCAAATTTTGACAGGTATCAACAGTCAAAGTGTGAGCGTTATTATAGTCAAATGTGTCAAAAATACAGAAAAATAAAGAAAAAATATTCAGGTTATTATGAATTTTTCAAAATGGAAATTTTTCCATGACCCAACACTATACAAGATACTTAGTATCATTTAATACCATTCATTTCACTAGTTAAGTTATTCTACGCTTAAAATTTAGCACAAAATGTACTAAATAACTTCAAAATATTCGTAATACTATTTGATAATATACGTGGAAAACTTCAAGTCGGTGAGAATCGAGCTACATATATGCCCTTGCCAATGGTAGCGCGCGATTTCTCGCCACGAAGTGTGCGATAAACCCTCTCCATCTAAATGACCCTTTAAGGCCGCCATGACGGAAGTACTAATTTTCAAAGCAAATATTACATAAATAGATAATTTCACTGCATTCTAATTCTGTGCCTCGAAGGTATTTCCCATGTTACCTGTCATCTCGTAGGTTGAAAAGAGCCTTATTCAACATCAAAGAGCATATATTATGAAAACTGAAACACTCAAGTGACCCCTTCCCGATTTATTTCGAACGTGTGGCCACTTTTCGCATGCAAATTTAAATTTGTTTGCAAATGCAAAATAAGAAGGACACATCTGCAAGCTTTTCAAGAGAGTTAATCCTCTCTCCTAAAAAGTTGTCATTGTGCAGATGTGGCCTTCTTACATGGAGGGCGCGAAATGACAAGAATAGCTATTGAAAGAATTGTCGTCTGAAAGCCATCTTACTGGAGGAGGCAAAAATACTACAAAATCTTGTTTAAGAGACAATTTTATTTTCGTAATCCTTCACTTTTTTAAATCCCGAATGATTTTTCACTCGACTCGGAATCGTGCAATTTGCAAGGTAATCAAAGTTTCAGGGTCTAGAGAACTGGAAATAAATTCCAACGACCCACGGGAGCACCGGGGAGGAGCAGTGCACCTCACCTTGAAGCAGCGAACCGTCCTTAACCTATTTAACCTTATTGTGTCTCTGCGTAATAACTAGCCTTGCAAGAAATTCTCAGAACAAGCGTGTGGAAAATTCTTTGTAGATTTCCAACGGACGCAGCTGTTTATTCTCGTTCAGTAAAGTCCATCAAAGGTCAACTTGTGTTGTTATTATTCATTTACTGAGCATTGGCTATAAAACCATCAACTTGTTGGTAATCAAATCACTCGTAAATGGCTTAAAACTGTCAGAAATTCGAAGTCAGAAAAATGTATTGTATGAACTGGGAGAATAAAAGTGTTACATGTAATTTGATTCACAGGTTCTTATCCAAGTCGGGCGTACAGTCTTGAAATGACAATAATTAAATTTCAATTAAAATATAGGTACTACGTTACTAACCGTGCAAACTACTAAATTTATATGTCCAAAATATAAAATTCATACATACATGTCAAATGTTTAATGTCTCTTTATAAAGTTCGTATAGATTATAGAAAACACAGGCAGTGACAGACGTTCTATTTCTACTCTTCCTTACCATTTTTTAATTTAAAGTAATATTTAAACTCTCAATTTGCTCTCATATTGTGTTTGGAGTACTTCTTGTATTGTTTTTGCAGTTTTGCTTCACTATATCGTACCGGCGCGAGACTCAGCGACAGTACGAGCTGCGTGCAGCGTCTGAAGTAGATTGCGTGCATTGGGTCGACGCTATCCGTGAGGCAAGGTCAGTAAAATGCATGTCCCATTAAAAGTTGATGCTACCTGAGTTCGAATTCAAATTTTTCCCGTACTAACACGGTTTACTTTGCTTGGGTCGCGCGGCAGGATATTTAAGAATTTATTTTTTTGACATACGAAATTAAAACCATTTGAAAAATGTGTATCACTCTCCGTATTCTGTTTAGTTCAGTTGATATAAAAAAAAATCATTGGTATATATAAAGTATCTATTGAATATAGCGGTTTTTAACCAACTTCAAAAAAAGGAGGAGGTTCTCAATTCGACTGTATGGTCTTTTTTTTTGTATGTATGTTATGCGATAACTCCGATATTTGTGAATCAATTTTCATGATTCTTTTTTTTGTTGGAAAGAGGGTACCTCCATAGAGGTCCCATTTAATTTGAAGAAAATCATCCACCTCTAAGGGTGGCTGTTCACGCATGAAGATTCATTTTTATAAATAGCGCCTAAATTTTGGTATAATGAGCAATTATTTTAATGGTTGATTTTGCTATTCTTTAATTCAAGGCGTTTTTCTCTCTCAATATACTTTGAGTAGTGACAACCGATTTTTACTATCTCCAATGGCAAGTCCCGTATAGTGCGAACAAGGGGATGAATCCGGGTTTGCGCACTTCCCGGTAACCGATTTCAATAAAACTTGGTAATTAATATGTAATTCCACGTACTTTTGAGGTCGGTTTTTTTAGTACTCTGTACTGAGATTATCTTGCAAAATTTCGAGGTACGTTTGTATTTTTTTTCTATATAGTGGAAATTTTTATAATCAGAGTATGTCCTCAATTTTATTTACAACACATTTTTTCCAAAATTATTAATTCAACACTGTCAATATTATTCGGAATCAACCATTTATTTAATTTTTTTAATAATATTAAGTGACGAGACGACCAAGTCGTGCGCCTGGTGGTAAGCTACACGCTTGTCCATAACAGTTGCAGTGCCATTCAGAGCTTTAAATCGGAAAGATCTGAGGGGCACTGCCACAGCGCCCGAAATATATCCGATAGAAAACCGACAAGCAGGCTACTTTTCTACGAATTTTCAAATAGTTAAGGAATTGGCTGATTAGTAATATAAATTATTAAAAAGTACTCATTGTTTTATTCCCAAAACCAACGTTTACCAGCCGTCAATAGTAAAACCTAGCATGTACCAAATTAAATAGTAAAAAAAAGTAAAAAAAGCCAGAAAAAATCCGCACTCTTTTATAAATCCTTACGTCCAACTCATGTCGGTAAATCCTATGATTTACTGGTACAACCAAAGATTTAACCAATAAACGGGCTTTTACAGTAACATATACATTTCATACTAGTACCTAGACGTATTTCTTCAGAGGAAAAGGCAATCTGTC